CCCCTTTTTTTTCCTAACTAGATCCAAGAGCTCTGTGTTACGGCGCAGCTGGAGTAACAGCACCACGGCTAACACTGAGGGACCCGTGAAGCTGCACGAAGGCTCTCAGGTTCTTCTGACCAGCTCCAACGAAATGGGGACAATCAGATACATCGGTCCTACGGACTTTGCACCGGGGATATGGCTTGGACTTGAACTCAGAAGTGCCAAGGGAAAGAATGATGGCTCCGTGGGGGAGAAGCGCTATTTCACCTGTAAGCTGAACCACGGGGTCTTAGTTCGACCTAGCAGAGTAACCTATCGTGGCATTAACGGGGCAAAACTTGTAGACGACATTTGCTGAGCCAAAATCTGCTCCAACAATAGGAAAGAAGTATTTAAAGCACAAAAGACCCCATCTAGAATGCAAACTTATTTTTAAATTATTAAATCTGCATTTGCATTTTACATATATATAAGTATATATGTGTGTGTGTGTATATATATTTTAATATATATATAAAAATAGAGAGATAAAAAAAGTCCAGTCCCATTAAGAAGTGAAAGCGCTGTCCTGTTTCTCCTAGTGACACAGCCCTTGCCTGGGAAGGTTATCGCAAAAGCATCTTGGGTTTGAGATGCTGTTATTATTCGAATAATGTTCCAGTTAGAGAACGCGAGTATCTATCTCCGACGTCCTCTGAAGTTGCTTTGTGATTCATGCAGTATTTAAACGATTTTCCTCCATGTAGTAATGAACTGATAATGCTTTGCGCATTGCCTGCTTTTGACAGAGGAGGTGGTTAATGAGTGACATCAGTCTGGTTACCAGGCACTTTGTCAATTCCAATACCAGCTGCTAGCAATAAGAAAGGAAAAAAAACCAAAACAAAACCCTTTTTCAAGCCAGTTGTGAAGTATTTTTACATTTTATCATTCAGATCCCTCCTCTTCTGCCCCCTCCTCTTCTCCCCTCCACAACGAAAAGGGCTGATCAACGTAAGTATTTGCGGCTATCCTAGTGAACGGCAGCAATTAAATAAAAAGCCTTTAAAAAGCACAAATATGCTGCATGTCAGTCTGTACAGTAAAAAGCACTTTTTGTTGTATGCATTTGTAGAAAGAGCTACGCATAAGAAGCACTCTTCAAAATAATGCACTTTGCACTCTCCTGGAGAGCTATCCCTCATTTTTAAAGACTTTTTCTTGTTTGGTGTGCCGCAGGCTATGAGTATCAGAGTTTTTAAATGCAAATAAACCCAGAGTGGAACTATACATAATAGCCTCGTCATAAATATTAAGTCTGTATAAATACAGCATGGCAATTCCTGCCAGTGGTATGGATTATATGCAGGTTTTCAAGCAAGCTATTAACATGATTTGATTTGTTTGTGATACGTGTTTCTGTTTGTGTCCTTTGGAACAGTTTCCAGTATAAATTTCTTGTAAGAGTCTTACGATAATAAATTAAGGATAGTTTTAGGTACAGCATTGTAACACACCTCGATGTGACATTATTTGCATATCGGCCTTTTACAACAGCCAATAGTTTTGTCCATGTTTTAAACATGTAATGTATTTTAATTGCTTAGCGTATGTAAACATTATCTTATCAGGATGGGTTTGTGTTCCAGAACAGTGATTTTATTCTTAAAAGATCTGCTCGCTCTTACCTACTTGAAGAAGCGACACTTTAAATTACATCACAATATCCTATTTTTAGACAGAATTCTGCTGCTGTTATCCTCTTCTAAATATTGCTGTAGCTGTTTTTCCAGAGCTGTATTTAAAATGATGCATACTGTAGTCTATAACTTATGGGAATTTTTAATTGAATATAAAAGCTGTAAATTTTGAACATAAAAAAATTAATGCTTTATATTTGAAGATGCAAATATTCAGTGATGTACTGAACTTTGTCCAATATCTGTTTCTTGCTGGTATTAGTAAAATGAAACCCTGGTGAATAGCATGGCAAAAAATTTTTCCTTACGGACTGTACCTCTCGCTTCTGTTCGGATGTACAAATGAGGCAAACGGGATACAGCACGGAAGGGCAGCTGTAGTCTGTTATCCCGAAGCGTTTGTATCTTCTGGCTGTTGGGTACAGACCTGCCCGTTGTCAAACACAGCGTTTGTACAGCACGTTTCACTGGTTTGGTCCCCGCCTCGTGCGCCTGGGTGGGCAGTTCAGTTTCCGTGCCGAAACAGTCGCTATCAGAAATGCTGGTTTTGCCTGCCTGACAAGACGGAATGGGTGTCGCTGCTTTACCTGACGGGTAGCTGGAGTTCTTTGGGGGAACAAGTGTGTGGGTAAGGCAGCAAGCCCAGGCAGTTTGTTACAGTCACGCCATTTCTGTGTGGCATCTTGCACAGATGAAGGAATAGATGGGGATAACCTCTTCCCAAGAGTTTTCTGATTCACTGGTAACTCTTTTTTTTCCTCCCAGGGTGTCAGGCTGCACCGTGCACAGCTCTGTAGCTACACCCAGGTCAGCTGGAAGTGGGCTCTCGGTGGCCTGCGCTAGGAAAGGCTGCAGGACTTCACAGAATCCTGTCTGGTGGGTAGAGAAGAGGGCATATAGGTATTATCTGAGCATTGGTGTAGTGTGCTCTGCCTTCAATTTCAGCTTCAGCTAGCTGCGTGCTTCTCCTGAAAGCTGTGGCTATCATCAGCTAGAGCGCTGTTGGTTAGAGGAGCAAGTCAGGACCCGTATCGGTAGGGAGCTGTGTTTTGGTAGCACTGAGAATCTTCTGCGAAGAAGCAAGAAGCGCTGTAAATTTATGTGGCCTGAAACAGAAATAAATCAGTTCCTCCATTCCAGAAAGGATTACTGATGGCTGTCTTCAGGTTGGTGATGTGAAGGGATTTGTGCTTCCCTAAATCCAAGGTAAGTTGCCATAATCCTTTTCTCCAACTCTTGCAGGAGGACACTTTGTGTCATAAAAAAAATTCTGAAAATAACTGGCAGTGAAGTTTGAAATGAGGTGCTGTGCTGAGGCCTGTATGATCACAGCCCCCGACTGGTTAGAAAAAAGACAAATGATCCTCGGAGTCCCTATAAACCATACAAATAAAATATCTTATAAATAAATAACCAGATGGTCCCCAGCAATGCTGTGCTGCCTGTGCAGACTTGGAGGCTTGTCCTTGTTCTGCAGCATGTCTCTGGGGTCCAGTTTCAGAAAACGAACTTTGTCAGTACTCTCAGCAATGAAATCTTTCAAGCTTTGTTGGACAGCAACTGGAAAAGAAAGGTTGCAGGTGTGGCAGGAGGAGAACCTTCTTGAGGTGTCCCCCAGGGTGGGGAATTCATTTCCAGTGAGTTCAGTCTGCTTGGATTCAGTGACTGTTTTGCAGATGTTGACAGTGATGGTCTTCTGGGCAGGGAGCGCGTGCTTCTACAGTGCTGCTACCCAGCAAGATCTGAGGCACAGGGATCCAAAATTGGCACTGCAGATTTGCAAAACACAACCTAGTTTCGCTGACAAGTTAGCCCTGTTACCCGTGGGAGCGCTGCATAGGTGGCAAGTCCAGCGTTTACATCACGGCTTTTACAGAGTTCAATTTTTGCAGAAGCCTTGTCAGATACCCGGTAGAAACTGAAACCGCGTCCATGAAAGCCACATAGCAGAGCACCCACCTGCATCCTTTTTCCTGCCTCGCTGCAGACAGACAACTCTGGGAAAAAATGGGAATTGGAGCAAAGGTTGCCAGCCAGTGCCAGATCCAAACCAGTATGTGTGTGGTGGCTGTCCGGTGACTGGCTCTGCTCCTACAAGAGCACAGGAGAGCTCTCTTTTCAGTTAAGGTAGGGAGGAACCGAAGGGTGGGCGAAATGGAGGGAGAGGAGAGGTGCCTGCCGGATACCTGCTCAGGAAAAAAGTTGTTAACTAAACCACGGCACTGTCCTGCAGGAGAATGAGCATGTGGATAAGCAAGTGAAGGAGAATAAGGTTTATAGGTAAGTCAGTCCTAATTTCAAGGACCATTTCGTGAGAAAGCAGCTACCTATGGCACAGGAGTGGTACAGGGAGGGGAAAAAGGTGAGCATTTTGGGGCAGCTTCCGATGTTTGTCACAGGACTCAATACTGGCACTCCACTGTATTAAAACACAGCTTGTAATTAGACCTACTCAAAGTCCATGTCCGCACTCAAGGAAAAATGCTGTCTTTGGCTATAAACATTTAGGAATGAAAACACCCAAATGCTCTCTTCTGCTGTGGACTTTGTCCTCCTTTTATACCGGCCAGTTTCCTGTAGGTAAAAGCCAACCTCGGTGGTTTGCAATAGAAGGAGCAGCACCTTTCTCTGTAGGAAGCTTGGAGGTGTGACATTTGCAATGCAAACAGGTCTTAAACGCACTGCTGCTAGCCGGAAAGGTGGCTGTCTCAGTTCAACACCACACCTGCCCCTGTGCGTGTCGGCGCACCTTAATACTTCTGTAACTTTACCAAGTAAAAACTGATGTCCGGAGACCTCCCTCTGACGTTGATCCAATCATTACACAGCCCAACACAGAGAAAGCCAGCTAGAGTAATTTTATTTGTCTTCATGCCTTGTGGTTCACTACACTTGTTTACAATACAAATACACTATTCAATACAAAATACTCAATGACCATATATTAATATTTTTCTTCATAGTATCCCTGAAGTGCACAGGCCCTTCCTTTATAAACAACGTTGGCTAAACTGCTGTACGTGAGACAGACACTCCTATAATGAAGCTTGTTACTAAAAGAAGCCAGATGCAGACAATTTGACATTTTCCTGTGATGGGTTTAACTTTGGGACAGACAAACGGTGATGTCTTTGCTGCTGTGAAAGGCTGTTTTATGCTATTCCTATGTCAAGGTTCTTGTCACCCAGAAGATAGGCTCAGTAACAGGAGCAGACATGCAAAGTTAAATCCTTCATAGCCTATTTCAGACCTCTTACATCACGCAACGTATACGCGACTGCGCCCAGCGGTGCTGCGGCTGCTCTCGCGCCGAGCCTGCGTCCTTTTGGGAATGCACGTGGGGGGAAGCCCGTGGACCCGTGATACCACGCCACTGTGAAAGGCTGACTCAGCCACATTAACGCGGCCCTCGCGCTTTCAGCCCGTGGTACCTGTCCCTCCTCCCCTCCCTACAGCAACGCCCCTCTCCCGCCACCACTCCTTCCGCTGCTCCTCGAGGAAGCAGAACCACCCCAACTTCTCGCCTCGCTTCATTTCCAGGCACATGATGGAGAAACAAGGTTCAGTAGCAGAAAGGAAGATGAAAGGACAACTGGAAAGGCAGACAAACAGGCATCCCAACCTAGGTTACCTGCAGCAGCTTACAGAATCAGAAACCTACCTAACATCTATAGGAACCGGGTAACATCCACATAGAAATAAGCCATTTTCAGAGTATGAGAGTGGTAGCACAGGATTTTCCCAGTCGTGCTGTACATCCTGTAGATCATACCGCTTCCCGCTTTTCCGCTGTAGGGTGAGGAAGACACATAAGACCAGAGTGTAAATACTGCCAATGAAAAAGATTAACAGTCTTCAAAACAAGTTCCTTAAAAAGTTTACATTGTCTCAATAAACTATATTTTAAGAAAATCAGTCATAGACAAAAACGGGTAAGAGGGTTAAAATAATTAATTTTTTTTTTCTCCTACAACACTGTAGGCCCAGCGTGGAGGGGGTTAATAAGGGAATCTGGGATTTACACATGCCAGGGTGCTTCGGTCTGGTGAGCTCATGGTGACTTAAGCCCCTTCTGTTCCCTGCAGCTCTGAGAACTGAACAGGTGAATCGTCTTTCTAGACACAGAAACTAAAAATTCCCAGTTCATGACTAGACAAAATGCTCTTGCTAACGGTCTACAGCTATAGGAAATGTGCTAGAATGAAACTGCTAGAAATTGGAACAGAAGAAACATCAACACTGAACACTTCCAGATGTTTTAAGAGAAATGATAAAATAAATTCTATGAAGTGCCTTCTCGTACACAATTTAAGCCACAGTCTCCTTACAACTGCGGCAAGTGAATTACTTGGCTCTTTACACACACACACACAGAGTCCGAACCTCTGAAGTGCAGCCTGTTAGCTTTACCCCAGCACACAAAGCCGCGTTTCTGCTGTTTCCCTCTGCCCTGCTTGGGCCGTCCCTGCGAAAGCCCTTCAGAAGCTTCTTTCCTACCTCACTGAACTCCTGCTGCTACTACTTCATCCACCCAGGGCAAACCCGCGCGGCAACTGCAGCTCTCACAGGCTTACTGGTTAAATGTTACCTCGGTTCTGTCAGCCCTTTGCTAATTTGACATGGGGCAGTAACTGATAGTGCCGGCGTGTGCACAGTAACTTCAGCTATCGTTAAGGAAAGCTTTCTTCACATCCTTCCAGTCATACAAATAAAGTCTCGCATTGTCACTGAAATCCTGGCAATGCTTCGGCAACAGGACAGATGCTTAAAGTCAAGCAATGCAATCGCAGAATGCCCAGGAAACTGTCTGTGATGCAGACTGCAACCAAGCAGCAGAGCACCCTTTGGTCCAGGCAATTAATTCATTGATGGCATTATTTGTTTTTTAAGAAAGAGGACACGCAAATGCTCCAACCCTTGTTTCCGAGTGGCAAGATTTGATTAGCATCAATACTCACAAAACAATTTTTGCAAACTGAGGTACCAAACTAAATGCTTGCTGTGGAAGAGCTCAGAGATGTTATGTTTTTTACATTAAAAATAAGCCCAAACTACATTTCTGAGTTCCTCTGAATTCCAAGAGGTAAGAGGAGGGATTAAAAAAACCCAAAACCACCAACCCAAAACCCAACAACCCCACAACAAAGCATTTTACACTGGAGACACTGGAAGGAAGCTTACTTAAAACCAGCTGCTAGTGCTGAACAGTATTTATCTCAATGCACCGTACCCAGCAGACTGGAAAATTTCAGTAGTAATTCACCATTTCCCCTGACCAGAATTATCTCCTCACGTATTCCACAGGTAAGCAACAGCAATGTGTTCAGCTCCTTCATTTTTTACAGCTCCCGTTCTGTAAGAGTTATTTCAGCTGAAATGCTCCGCTCAAACACCTGCACAGCACAAGCTGCAGCGCAGGAACCACGCGATCGCCGTGGCTGGGGAACGCCTGCCTTTCCCCCTTCACCCCCACAAACTTACAATCGTCTCTTGCTGCTTGGGCTTTTACAGCCTCTTGAGAAATGCTACCTTTAACATCATAACCTGGCAGCTCATCTGCATTTGTGCAGCATCAGAGCTGCTGCCCCAGATCCAAGAATTAATAATTTCAGCTAGTCAAAGATCGTGAACTTTGCAACTTTTTGTTCCTGTTTATTCTTTAAGAACACTCATCAGTATACAGGTCAGATTCTGTCCTCAGTAACAGGCAGGGCAGCAAAAACTCAGGAGTGCGCTCTTAGGCAAAGGAGAGCTAAAGAAAACAATGAGGAGCTTCAGCCCTTCTGAAAATGAGAAAGCTGCAATATTTAAATGAAAATTGCTATTATATGTGAATAACACACTAGAGCAAGAAATTGTTCTGGTAGTGCTTACCTCCTGAATTAATCAGCTTTCCCGAGACTCTAGAAAACTACCCCATTGAGTTCACTGAGCTAGAGAGAGAGAGAGTCCAGTGCGACACTAACGCAGTCCTAAGCTAGACGGAATCCCTCCCCGGTGGCTATTTCATGACAAGAGCTGCGAGCCTAAGAACCTTGGAGATCACAAATATTCTCTTAGTTCAAGCTAAAGCAGCCTGCGCGCAGCAGCAGAACACCCAACGCCTAACCCTCGTTATTCCCACCGAGCCCACGGAGCAGCGGTGCGGTGGATCCCTACCAGACGAACATGAAATTCAGACCAGCCCCTGACTCAGGCATCCCAACACAAGAGCACAACCCCGTTAACCAACCACCGCAAACAATTTCGGCATTTGTCTAAAAAAGGGTTTCAGTTTAGTGTATGAGAGATGTCAGAAAGGCAGGTTAGGAGAGCACACTACCTCCTCCCTCTTGTGGTTTTTTGTTTTTTTTTTTTTTACAAGGGCGGTGGCCCAACCCAAGCCCTCCGATTTCAATCTGCCCATCTGAAAGGTCAGGAGCACGTATATGCAGATTCTGGTGCGTTCCCTTAGGAAGACAGGAAGCTTACCTCGATGTTTGGATCCAGGGCCAGATTCAGAGTCACTTCACTGAAACGAAGAGTCTCGGACCGAAGAACACCTTCACATTCCTTTGCTGATGCTCCAGTACACCCATTTCTATGGAAATGGGCACCCCTTTTTCGGATAGCGTTCATGCTAAAACAGCTCCTTGCAACCCTAAGTTGAAGTTACTAATGCACATCTTCACACATGAATTATTTCCTACATCTATGTTTTGACAATACACTTAACTGGAATATTTTTCATGCACGAGGTGTACAAAATGAGTCAATGCAGTGTTTGTCTTTAAACCACTATCATACACGTATTTTGTTAAAGGAACAAGGGCTCTAAACCCTTCAAATACAGACAGTATCTGGCATCCGGACTGTGGCACGATGTAGTCTTCCGCCTTTATGTTCTTGTTTGTACAGGGTCTGTCACAGGCTATTGCAAACCTCTGAGGTATGCAGGTGGCTGTCCATTTTCAGGGCATGGTGAAAGTCTCTCTCATGACCATGGTCCTTTAGAACTTCACCTTGGTTCCACTTGACACGCACAAGTTCCTGATGAAAGACATGCCTACGTTTGTAGGACGGGGAATTTTAAAGGGCTTTACTCAGTTTTAGAGCTTAAGCACAGTGAAAAAGAAAACAAAACAAAAAACCCAGCACCCCCTTTTTTTAAAAAAAAAAAAAAAAACCCCAGCCCCCCCCCCCCCCCGCTCCGAATGCCTCATAGCATCTCCACCCATCCTCTATGCTTCCTTCCCTCTCTCGTTCAAGCGATGCAGTATGACCAGTGTTTTTCTATTGCCCTGCCAACACCCCCACAAACGCTGTGCATTCAAGGACTTTCAAAGACTGGACTGTAGCTGGAACACAACTTGGGAATGTGCCATTGTGTCACCATTCGGCGCTGTCGTATCCTTTTATAGTTTGGATAGAGGGTGCTCTCCCCAAACCCGCTATAACCTCTGCCAGCTGCAGGAGATCTCCAGGTGTTCCACAGCAACCACAAATTTGGCACGGAAAACCCCAGACATGAAACACTCAAGGCAGTGAGCCGTGGCTTTACACTTAAGCAGAGAACGCACAACTGAGAAAAGCTCACAGGAAGGGCATGACAACAACCATGCGTATGAGTTGATGCAACAGCAGCTGGGCCTTGCAGGTAACCTCTGTTTCCTGTATCCTCCCTCCCCCTTCTTTCTTCTACTGTATTGGGGCTCCGGTGATTGGAAGCCTCTCGGGTTAGTTGAAATTACAGCTTCGAGGGTGGCACTTTTGGAGCAAGTTGGCACAAAATGGAAGGTACTGCTGTCAGATCCCTTGCTTGTGGTGTATTGGGTAACAGGACATCTCTTCAAGGCTCAGGGGCCACAGGGGGAAAAGTCAAGAGGGTAGAGGGCTCTCACAGCCCCTGCTGGGTTATGTGGCTCTTGTTTCTAAGGACGGGGTCCTCGTAACTGCTAGCGCAGGGTGGCGTGGAGGCTTCCAAGGGTAAGCCCTGCTGTTGGTATCCATAGTTGACATTCCCACAGGGGAAGTGGCGGAGCCTAAAGAGAGGCACTTCTTTAACGCTTGCTGTTAGGGAAGATGGCTCTAATAGCAGGGAGGAGCCTGGCAGCCTGCCAGTCACAATGTTGGGCCCTACAATACAGTTTCCTTCCTGTCCCAAATTCTCCCTCTCGGGCATCTCCTTCTCTAGCAGAGAACTGTTTTTGCTGGCCTGCTTCTCCGCAAACCAGGAACCATAGGTTGGATTCCAGAGGTTGGTGGGCTTGTTTCTGGATCCCCGGCTTTTGTGCAGCTCAGAAGGGGGATTGGACTGGGCATAGGCCATGTTGATATGTCCCCCCGCTGAGGCTGACGGCACCTTCCCCAGCACTGGCGGTTCCAAGGCTCCCACTTTCCCTAGAGGTTTTCCAGCAGTGATGGCTGACGGCAGGGGTGGTGGTGATGGCAGAGTTTGCTTGTCATTCTTTCTGTCTTGGTGTGTGGAGACCAAGAGAGGAGGAATTCCTTCTGGATCATCGGGACGCATCGCTACCTTCTCCTCCTCCTCAGCTGATGGGCCATATTCTACTGGCAAAGCAGTGTTGATGACATCTGGATCCTGCCGGAGAGAACAATGAGAATTTCTCAGTGTCTGCTACCATCATGCATACTCGGACTTGATTAAAAACCCGACGCATCTGACAGCTGTCACACTATGATCACAGCGCATTGTTCCCACTACCCAGAGCCCACATTCCGTGTGTAGAGGATGCTGACAAAATGCAGTTAGCCAGGAGATGCAATGGGATACCCTTAAAATCAAACTCTTTAAAAAAAGGCAACCCTAAAACTCACCACAGAACAGCAGAGGCACAAAACCAATGAAAACCACTTTTTATGTCCAGCCAAATTTCCTGTGGGAAGGTTGTTTTGGAATCCATATCATCTTGAAGTTCATAACATTCTCAGATAATATTGAGAAAGTTTCAGCCATGAAAGTATTGCCTCCACACAACAAGGGAGGAATGGGAATGCAGAGAGAAGGCAATACTGGCAGACCCCTTGAAGCCCGAATCCATAGGGACTGCGGCTTTGAGCTATTTAAGCAGTTTTGAAAATTAAACAGAGACAATGTGGTGATCTGGGCAACCTTTGATTATTGCTAGATGCCATGGCAAGCCACAGATAGCAGAAAACAATGCCTCCCCATCCCAGGATCCAAACACACATGAAAAATGGACCAAGCCTCCCAAACAGCAAGGGAAAACAAACGGACTGAGGCAAATAACTGTGTGAGGCCACACAAGAGGCCTGTGCTGATGCAGGCAGCAAAACGTTTTCCAAACTGCTCCACTCCTCATAAGCTAAAAATGGTGGCAAAAAATAAATAAATCAGATTCCAGCCTGGAAAGCCAGCCACATCCTTTCCCCATTGCCTAGCCTTAGAATCCCCACTCCTTTAGCATGGCTGTCTCCACCTGCCTTCCCCAGCATAGTCAGATTCAGAAAATTGCTGACAGCTGCAGAATCCACCTGCAAAGGGTGCTCTCTGCTGACCATGTCTTAAGGGAAAACACTGTGATGGAATGTCTGACACGAAGCCCATGAAGTGTGTATGGGTGCTGGCCTGTCTTAGCTCTTTTGCTTGTTGGAATCTGTGCCTTTATAAGCAGAAGCAGAGCTACAGGTCTGCTATTTGTAAAGCTGTGTAAGCTTGGGTGAGCCTGTGCCTTTCAGCAGTGAAAGACATGAAGGCTCAAGCACCCGATGAGGCAAATATCCCAGCCACTGGTCCCAGGCTGACATCAGTCTCCCTGGAATGCTGACTGCCTCCTCATCTCGTGTTCTGGCTTGCCTAGACCGCTCCTCAAGAAGAACCCTCTCCACCCATCTCATTCGAGATGAATTAACAACGATACCTGAGTGCAGTACTCAATCCTCTCCAGGATTATGGCAAAATTTGGCCGGTCTTCAGGCTGGTGCTGCCAACACTGGGTCATAATGCGATAACTGAAAGAGCAGAACAAGAGATGCTCATAAATGGCAGATCCTGTTGGTACGTAACAGCTAGTCACTGCAGCTTAGAAACTATAAGCACGCATCACCGCTCTGACTTCTAGTAACTAAGAGTGCTCTGCCTTCCCCAGAGTCGGATGACCGATGTACTGGTAACCACTGAAATGTGGCTACCAGTGGGGTGAAATCCACAGCACATCAGAGAAATAACTCACCCACCCAAAATCCCTTGGACAATTCACTAAAGGTAGGCAGGGCTACAGATAACGGAGCCCAGTTTTCCCTACCTGTGAAGAGTCTTATGCACTTGCAGTTTCACAGCTAACCTAAGACGCAGAAATATTGCACCATCTTTGACCAAACAAGCAGTGGCCAGTACTTCTCAAAGGGGCCCTGAATTATTCTCCAAAACACAGAAAAATTAAATAGTAGAGAAGTCACTGGCACTCAAGTCCAATCAGGCAGATCAGCCATAAGATCAATCTTAAAAGTCATTAACTTTTGACTAGAGAACAGCATTTGAAACAGAAACTTATTTGCATGAATATATCAAAGTTAAAATCTCATACACAGGGCCAGGGCAGTTTTTAGGTGGATCCATCCTTCCTCCATTGGTGACAAACTCCAGAACCTCCTGGTTACTTTTGCTAGGGTAGGGCATGTATCCCAAAGAGAATATCTCCCAGAGCAATACGCCAAAGGACCTGAATACAGAAGTGAAGGAAAACAAAGTGAAGGATATGGGAACGACCATCACCGAGGGGCGAAGCCCTTAGGTGCAGTACTGTCAGCGTTGCTCTTTGCAGTTTGTGCTCAGGCAGCTTGTGGAAATCACTGCTGCAGGATTCAGACATAAATAAGCTGCACAGTTGTAATGGTGGACTTTTAATCATTTAATGAATACTGGTAGTTGACTGTTAAGTGAGTGAAGTCTACGATATAGGTAAGTAAATATGGTTGCTTTGCCCTTGTACTCAGCACTGTTCAACTAGATGTAACAAATGTGAAAGTCAGGTTATACTTTTCTGAGACATAAGCCACTGCTAGAGACAGGACTGAGTGGAGCAGTGGCCTGCTCACTTATGAAAAACTTTTTCTCTTGAATAAGCTACCCTGTGTGAAATAACATGCCAGTGAATGCCCACTCATGCTCTGAGCCCCGTAGCCCCCACCTGCAGCTCAGAGTACAATAAAAGCATTCCCTAGCTAACACCACAGCCCTGGGCCCGTGTGGTGTGGCCTGCAAAGCCCTGGGGACAATGGCTGGGACAGGACCCCCTCCAAAGCATTCGTCTGGTTAGCTGGCTTGGAAATCACGACCCTGTTGATTAAAATTGCAAAGAGCTATGTGCAGCATAGCTTGGTGCCGAGACAGGCAGCAGCTCAGCTGTATGAGAGAGTGTACCTCCACCCCTCTGCTGGGGCTTGCTCAGGAGCTGTGTCCTGACTGCCAGCCTCTTCCCCTCCACACACGTCCCGAGCTCTTGCCTCCTGCTCACCCAATTTCCCTCCCCCTCCTCTGGCCACCAGCAACTCAAGGCCTTACAGTGCTGCTGCAGGCCAGGAGAAACATGAAAGCGGCAATACATCATGCCCTTCTCCCTCACGGCCAGGATGGATCCTGCCTGCAGTCTCCCGTGCTGCCTTCCTCAGTGTAGAACTAATGCTTTCTTCCTTGTAGTAGCAAAGCAGCACCTGCATCTGCCTCAGCTCCCGTTCCCTGCCTGCTCACCTCCCCAGCAGCACTCGCCTTTGCACAGGTCTGATCTTTCTCTTCCCTTGTCTCCTCCAAGATTACTGGCTCTGAAAGACCCAGCTTGTCTTTTTAGGAAAGGATAAATGAACAAGAACATGTGTTTCTTACAAAATATTCACACTTTACAAAAGGGGTTACAACACAGACAGACAGATCAGACAGAGAAGGAAAGTAAGCGCACCATGTATCTGTTTTTGATGTGAATATCCCTTCCATGAAAGCCTCAGGAGGCATCCATTTGACGGGCAACATTGCACACCCACCCTTCCGATAGTAGCTGGCTCTGCAAAGAATAAACAAAACCAGGAGTCAGCCAAGAATTCAGAAAATGCCATTAATTTGGGATTTTTATAGTGACAAATACTAAAATTATGAGCCAGAGGAGAGACTAATTTAGGCGAAAGAGCATGGCAGAGAAAATGCTGGAGAGACCTGTTCCTTCTCACAGAAATAGTGGAAATGGGCAGACCATGGAAGAACTGCTCCAATTTCCCTCGCTTTAGGCCTGATCTGGTGAACCCAAGTTATCCTTACCTGTGTGCATACTCCTAGTGAATTACTCACACAGTAAACTGCTGCTGGCAGAGCCATCCTCCTGCACTCTTCAGCCACAGCAAGGTCTCCACCTCACCTCACACGTGGTCACCTTGAGCATCCTCACCAAAAATAAACAAAGCCTGTCCTATACGCACCCAGTCTAAAGCTCTGCAAGTGAAATCCAAAACCTTTATAAGAACGAGGAGCTTGATGAGGAGGATGCTTGGCCATTAGAGCTGGGGCAGCAGTACAAAAACCACCTCCCGTGCTCCTGAGACAGGAATTACATCAGTCCTTTAGTGCCATCATCATTTAAAATAAAACTTACAAGCCCCAAATCCTGCGCTGGCAGCTGCAGGAGGCTGCTCATGCAAGCTGGTATCGCTGTTCGTAACTACACAGCCTGAGCATCCAAAGGATATTCCTGGACGCAGAAACCTGTGCAGACTTCAAAGGCACCTTTGAAAACTCAGCACCAAAGCGTTCATCTTGGCAGTCAGTTCTGCCGATTGTGTGAGTGTGACAGATGCTACTTTGTCCCAGCAAAGTCCCATCTGACAGTGGGGCAGAGCGGGGGCTCTTTGTGAAGGGAGAGAGAGGAGGCAAAAAAAAAAAAAAGCAGCTCTGGTACACTTGGGTTTTTGAAGGTAGCACTCTGTTTGCACCACCTCAGGCTGTGATGCTGTCAGATCTCAAGCTAAGCAGAGCCAGGCCTGGCTTAGTAATTGCACAGGAGAATCCCCAAGCACGAAAAAAGAAGGCAAGGCACTGGAATAAACAGTGCAGGTGACTGAGTACAAGGCATTCCTTCTTCAGAGTCAGAGGCAAATCAATTCCTTGGCACAGCAGGATATGGTGCTGCACTTCTGGAGGTGCTATCTGGAAGATGAGATATCAAGCTGCAGCCCTGACTGCTTGTGGTCATTAAAGATTTCCTGGCACTTCTTGCAAGAGCAGAGTAGTTAACCCTGCGTCCTGGCTGAATTCCAGTTCGGGTGATTACATTTTCCTGACCTTCCTCTGCACCTTCCTCCTTTATCCGCAGTAAATTGAGGAGATTTACTGATGACACCAAACCAAAGGGGCAGGGGTAGTATCAAGGAGAGAGATTAAACTCAGAATGATTTGGGACCACAAAACAAAAGGGCACATCAATGCCATTCAGTGTGGAGAAAGTAAAGACAAGAAACTGAGGACAGAGTACAAGAGGGAGGAAAAACGCCTTCCATGACCATCAGACTTCATTACCCAGAAGAAAGCTGTCAGGAGTGGGAAAAGTCTCCAGAGCACAGTTGAACTGCAGGTGAAGGCAAACACCAAAAAAAGCATTAGCTGGGATACATCAGGGTGGGATCTCTCCACTCTCGCCTTGCTAGGGTTATGCAGAGCAGCACACCAGCCTGCTCTCCTGCACAAACACTGCTCCTCCCTCATTTTAGCGAGCTTCCACTTGCAGATACCCTGGGCTTAGCTCTGCTACCTGTATATATCCCGGGCCATTCCAAAGTCTCCAATTTTAGCCACTCTCCCAGGCCCTCGACAGGTAAGGAGGCAGTTTCTGGCAGCAATATCCCTACAAGGAAAGGGAAGAAAAGCAACAGAAAGAGAAGGACCACTTAATCATTCAACAATTTTGCAAGCCAAAAAGAAAACAAATAGTACCTACTTTCCTGAGCTGCAGAGAGCCCACAACAGCCAGAAGAGTCAGTGTTTCTGGATAACTAGTGATGTCCCAAATCCCATTCTAGCCCAACAGCAGGAGCAGTTCTGCTCTTTAACATTTCCTATTTACACTTCACGTAACATCTTCCAGCTGAAAGGATGGGCCTCCTATGAGCCTCCCTTCACCCCAGGAGCTATTTTTAAGCCTTTAAGGAGTTGCAAGCAGTGGGGCTGATTTCAGCTATGTATCAGTCCCAACATTAAGTTCTCTGGGGAACGATCCACTGCCCTCTTCCTAGTGTGCTTGTTCAAATATTGTCAAACAGGTGTCATACTATCAGAGATAGGAAGAACAACAATGTGCAGGTGTTACTCTGAAGACTGAAGGTATGGGCCTGAATTTGTGTATGCAGGTAAAGCTCCAGCTCCACCTCTGCTGGGCTGAAGTAAACCTTGAGATCTGAGTAACATGGTGGCATACTTTGTGGGCAACTCTTTCAGAAGAGTAAACTACAACCTCTTTCTACTCAACTTTACTCAATGGGCAGAATTTTAGACACTTGCCAAACACCCTGTTCTGCAGGAGCAGATAAAAATAGTCACAAGGTGTTGCACTTCTGGCTGTACTTGTACAGCCATTCTTCAAGAGGGAGAAGAAAAGGGTTCCAGAACGAGCAGAAAGGCACCAAGCAAAATTCATGACGGGCAGAGCTTTGAAGACTGCTGTCACGAGACTGTGTTTCCATTTGCAGAGTAACCAAACAGGCTGCGCACGTGCAGGCACTGAGACAGAGCTCAGGATCTTTGGTAAAACTACAGATCTCTGGAACCTGATTTATAGCAGCATTTCTGTTAATTGCTTCTATTATTCTGATTTTATATCTACCTTCTTTAAAGGTATCCAGCCACTAGAGTGCAGCAGGACATAAACATATCAAGCAGGGCATTACGAGTCTGTGCTGGCCTGTATGCAAGTCGTGCCCATGCTGACACAGACGTATTCACCTACCTGTGAATGAAGTGGTTCTCCTCCAGGTACTGACACCCACAAGCAATGTCACGAGCCACGTGGAGCAAGTCCAGCATGGAAAGGGAGGAGGGCTGATTCTACCAAAAGACAAGGGACAAACGTGGGTTAAAAGCAAGAACATGGCATCATTTGTCACTGATACAGCGCTGGGAACTCTCCAACAAGTGCCGTAGCTCAGATGTTAATACACAAAGGGATTACAAAAATGCGCAAGAGAGAGTTCATATCCATGAACTACGCAAAGGATGTGCAGGCACGATTGTCGTACAAATCCCAGGGACAGAATTGGAACAGCTGGATCCCACTTTCCAGCTCCATTGGGATGCCCCTGTAAGAATTTCCCCCAGTTCTCATGGGAGACGCTTCTGAATTTTCAGCATGATTTTTGAGAAGATCTGAAAACTGAACTGGTCCTCACTCAGTTTCTTTGTATTATTGCCAGCTCCTCTCTAAAGTCACCTTGAACAATGAGAATGACATTTTGTATAATGGCATGAGTCACATTTGCTCT